GTATTTTTTTGGATATTTTATTAAATACTTAGTTATTTAGTAAAGTTAACTAAAAACTACATACTATTTAAATTATGGTAATATTTATATTGTTGAATTGTCCAAATTTTATATGTAATATTACAATCAATATTTATTATTTTAGTTATATAATATTATTTATAGTAATATGTTATTCTAAATATATATATATATATATATATATATATATATATACTATTTTAGTTTTGATTAGTTTTTTAAATTCTAGTCCTTTTAATTATATTTAACTTTTTTTTGCTACCAAAATTCAGAAATCATCTCAGAATATAAGTTTGATATCTTTTACTTAGTTAATAAACTTAAATATACATATATATATATATATATATATATATATATATAATGGCTTGAAACTATGATGAACTAGATATATTCATATTTGAAATTATCTTTAATTTAATTTTAAATTTTAATGAAAAATATAGTATGATATATTTTGAAATCATACGTATCTAAATTTCATGTGTAATTTTTTAATGCATGAATGTTTAGATGTACTTTCTAAATTTGCACATAATCCTGGTTTTAAGCCTATAAGTAACTAAACAGAATGTTGGTTACAGTAATAATATTTTATTTTATAATGTTTGATATTACATTTGAAGTATACCTTGTTTTTTTGATATTTATTAAATTAGTCTATGTATAAGAAATGTTAAATAAATAATAATAGTAATAGTAAGAAATTGAGGTACCTATGAAGCATGGCTATTTATTATGCCTCAATCATTTAAGACATATGTATCAGTTTTTGCAGACTTAAGATTTGAGTTTGTACCAAGTGTATTTATTTTTTTATTTTTTAAATTTTTTTCCCCAACATAATTTGACAATTGCCATTCACGCAAATTGTATGAACAGGAAAATACATCAACTATAAAGAATTTCGTATCAGTCTTTTGACTCAATAGAATTTTATGAAAGAATAATTTGATAATAAAGAATGGAATTTAAGATTAAAAGGAAAGATATAAATTTGGATATAAGAAAAAAATTATAATTATAAAAACTATCAATTTGGATGGAAATGAATAGAGTTTGAAGAGGATAAAAAGAGAGTTGTTAAATAGGATTTGAAATTGCTAGAAAAGGACAAATAAATTTAATGGAGCTTTGGTGTATTTTGAAAAGAAAAATAATTGTATGAAAATAATATTTTATGAATAGAAATGTATTTTATTATTAAGATCTATTAAATTTAAAATTATATATCATTTTTAATTTCAATTTTTAATTTTTTTTTGGTGCTATAATCACTATACATGACTAATTTTATTTTATTTTTAGTTTAAATAATAAGATATTTACATCAATTATAAATTGCAAGCAAGTGTAAGCAATTGAATATTTAACATAAATTTTGTCTTTGATTTGATGTAAAGATTACACAACTAACTAAGATTTTAAATTATTGCTTTCAAAATAATATGATATGAAATCTAAAATGTTTGAAAAATTTTACATAGAAATTAAAAAACTTATTTAGATCTTAAATTTAAGTTTGGCTATAAAAATTATATTTTTAAATATTTATGCAAGTGTTTACTTCCAATTAAAATAAAATTGTATCTAATTTTTTTTAATATAAATAATATTATATTACTAATTAGATATTTTTTATAAATACATATAGCTATAACGAAAAATCATGAATAGCACTAAAAACATAAATAAAAGTAATCTTTGATAACTTAATCCTTTAAAAATATTTCATTGTTTTTTAATTATTAAGAAAGTAAATTTTAAAAATAAATTAAATTTAATATCAATTTGTTTTTGTTTGTTTTTGTTTTTGGTATTTTTTAAAAAATATATACCATATTTAAAATAATTATGTATATTTTTATAAGTTGATTTTATTATACATGCATCAAAGAAAATGTTCATTGCATTAATTCTATCTTCAAATGGTATGAAGATAAAATAACTGTTCTAAGAAAAAGATTTGTGGATAGGAACTGTAAAGAAAAACAAATCAGATTATTATTTTTTAATTTTTTTAAGGAAAATTTGTTTGGTTAAGAAAGTACACCAATATATTTTATTTTAGGAGCACAATTTACAAATTTGTGCAAACTGATGTGAAAGAGTTGTGAACCTATTTCAAAAAATATAAAATCAACTTTTTAGGCTCTAAAAATGAATTATTGTACATATTCCTACATCCTTAACCAAAAATCTTATCATAACACGAATTTATGATCTAAATGGCAATAAAATTTAATAATTCTAAAACCTTCTATTTAATGAAAATTAAAAAACCTATATGACCAAGATAAAATTCTTGCCAATACTTAATGTTATAAAAATTTTAAAAAATATATAGTTATTATTTTGTATAAGCATTTTTATTTATTTATTTATTTATAGCAGACAATGTAAATTTTTTTACCTTGTAACCATTCCAATGCTCAATTTCAAATCTCTCTCTCTCTCTCTCTCTCTCTCTTTCTATATATATATATATATATATATATGTATGTATGTATGTATGTATGTATATATATAAATAAATACGTATGGTTTGACTTGTGAAGTAGTATTGTCAAAAATCTTGGAATGTGATAAATGAACAGGATGTTTTGTCCAACTTGTTGCTATCATTTATAAATGATATAGTCACCTTCATGAGCTGCATGGTGGATTTTTGTATTGCATTGGTTCTTAATAACCTGCAAATCATTCCAGCAGGACATGTTTTTGCATCGAACTTACTGTGCAATGACTTCAGAGAGGATGGCAATATCCACAATTATCCATTCATTGCAATAAAAAGAAATTGTAAAAAGGAGAATTATGGGAGCACCCATGTCCTGACTTATTCTTCAATCCAAATGTGGCCCCCTTTGAAAACATGATCTATTGCCATGATTCACACCATCACCCCAACAACTAAAGATAAAAAAGACAAAAAATTCTCATTTCTTTGTTCCCTTGTTTTTCATCTTGTTTCTTTTTTTGACGTTTATTTTTTACTTCAATTCTTCTTTCTTCTCTTCTTCGTTCCTTCTTTTTGTTTATATCTTTTTGGGGTGTGAGTGGGAGTTGGTGTGAACTGATGAGGGTGAATCATATAATGACTCTCTCTCTCTCTCTCTCTCTCTCTATATATATATATATATAATCGTATTCATTTGACTTGGTGGGAGTTGATGAAAGGTGGGGGGGGGGATAAAAGGGAATGAAAGGGTGCCATCAATCATATTCTAAAAGTGAGCCCCATTGGTGTTGCAAAAGACTCTGCAAATGCTCTCTTGCCATACCATCTCACAATCTCTCTCACACTCACACACCCACACTCTCATCCTCACTCACTCGCTCACTCAATGGATACTCCATAACAATCAGTAATAACCACCTGTCCACCTCCTCATTCTCATGGAAAACACAAACCCAACCAACTCTACATGTGCATGTTTCTATATATATATATATATATATATATACACACACACACATTTATAGACTTCTGAAGAGAAGATGAGAGGGAGAGAAAGGAACAAAAACTACTTAACTAATGCATTGCAAATTGAATTGGCTGACAGCCACTCACAGCTCAAGTCCTACGCTAAGAAACACAAATGGATATTTTGTAAACAGGAATCTGTGGTTTCAGGATCCCAGAAGTGGGGGATGGCGTCACAGTCTGGGTTTGTAAGCGAGGATCAGCACCCTCTAAGGACCTTCAAGGAATGAGCTTCTTCTTCGTCGTCGCCGTCGTTGTCGTCGTCTTCTTCTGTCTTTATTCGTCTGCTTTGTCTGCTTCTTCATCTGCTTACAGAGTGTATCAGCAATGAGCAGACTGAGCAGACTTGCAAGGGCAGAAGCTATGGGGTGGTGCTGCCCAGGGGGTGCAGCCAGCCAACACAGATCTCCCATTTACTCATCATGGAGTCGCTGCTATGACGGCCATCTGCAGGTACCGCCTGCCATGTGCGGCGCTCGCAGCATCAGGCACCGGCACACATTACAACTCTACAGCAGAACTGAACACAACAGAAGGGAAGGGAAAGGGAACGGGAATGGGAAGGAAGCCTGTTGTGCTTCCTCACTCACTGCTCCTGCTCCACCACACATGCCTCCGTCACCTTATGTCAGATTCTCTGTCTGTATGCCCCCCACCCCAATCATTGACTTTTCAAGCAGAACACTGCGCATGCGTTTCTTTTGAGACAATGGGAAACCTTTTTTTCTGCGTTTTTTTAAATATACTTTTAATTTTCTTTTGTTATTTTCTCAATTCCAGCTCAACCGAGATAGTGGACTAGTGAAAATTCGCATGTGGAGTAGTAGTTGTGAAGGAGCGTGCAATAGAGGAGTTTGAATGTCAGACGAATAAGGTTTTCGAAGTGGATAGATTCAGCAAGTTTTGACCTCGTGAGCATCTTAACTCCACTCACAACATGTAACTAACTATCCATCAGGTTCCCCAAGTTTACCCGGAAACAGGCTGGAAGAAGAAGACGCAACTATATATATAATTTCAGATGAAGATCTCTCTTTTGACCCACATCCATGCATGCAAACGGTTGAATGCTATTAAAAAAAACTACAAAAACAATAAACAATCCAATGAAATTAGTTGCGAAAATTTTATTTAACTGTGTTTTTCAGAATTATTATGAGAAACAAGGCGCTATTATAAAATTGTAAAACTCCCAAGCTGGGGTACATGTGGAAACAGGAGGCGGAGGAGGAAGACGACGAGGAGAGGGCTAAGTTTGGGCTCCAGCCTGGGCGGAAGGGGTGGCATGGAATGCCAGGTTGACTTGCACTCATTTATGTGTGTGAGTGTGTGGGTGTATGAGACAAGCTCCCCACTCCCTCCGAAGGAATGGTAAACTCCGGGCACGTGCTGCAGCAAAAACCGCTGCCTTTACGAAATAAATTTCACCTTTACCCTGTAGAAGAAGAAGCCTGGTTTCTGGAAGAGCCTGGGGTTTTCCCTCTCCTTTTCCTCCTGGCCTTACGTTGCCTTTCCGTGGCTCCTCCGCTCATTTTGATCGAGAGAGCACCCAACATTGCCCCTCCGCTGGCTGCTTCCCACCGCTCTGGACGAGAGTTTTGTCCCTAGCTAGTTTTGTGTCAAGATTATTGTCGCCTTTCCGAGGAAACTGTTAGTTTGCTTGCTTGGCTTCCTGGAAGCTGTATCCCCAAGGCCGTTGTCTCTCTCTTCAAGGTTACCATCGTGCTGGATCCTCACCCCACCGCTGTCGCCAGTACCCATCTGCCACCAGGACGCTAGATATGCTCGTCGCAATTCAATCGTCGCTCACCAGAATCATAGAATCGCTTGGCTTCTTGGTGGTGGTGGTCGATTATGCGCGAAGATCATCAAAACTGGGTTAAGTCTAAGGGCGATAGTTTTAAACATCATTCGGATCCGCTGCTCGTGCCGGATGTTAAATTCCAGAACGGTTCCAGCCTGCCGGATTGTTTTCCAGGTTTCAGGAGCTTTGGGTGCGGTGTGAAGGTTGTGAGTTAGTTGCAGGGAGTGTGGATCATATAAAGAGTTTCGTTGGAGTTTAGCATTAGCGATTCAGAAGTTGGTGGTAGCGAGAGAGAGGGAAGGTTTAGATTCTTCACTGGTTTATCTGTTGTCGCGGCTACGAAGACTATCGCGAATTTAAAGCTAGAGTGTGGAGCCATGGAAATCTTATAGTTTGGTGCAGTTAGATCCGATCTTTACAGTCGCAAAGGATACATCTCCGTGTACGCCCTGCAGACTCAAGTGTAGCTTCCAATTGTAGCTGTTTATGTTGATCCCCGAGCATTGTGGGTGGAACTGAGCCTTGAGGGTTTTGCAAACGGAGCCGTGGGATCAAGAGCAACACACGCTGAGAGTCTTTCGCTTAGGTCTTCACGATGTTTCAGATGAAGTCCAAATATATGAATCCGGGGATTTCGAGTCCCGGGCCGTATCAAAATCGGGCACAGCCCTCCGTGTACGCGCATGACAAACTGTCCCCACCCTACGGGATTACTCAGACCATGAACGGAGGCGACATGGTGTCCTTGAGTCCAGCCGATCCCAAGCCTCGCCTGCGATGGACCCCGGAGCTTCACGAGCGCTTCGTAGACGCCGTGACCCAACTTGGAGGGGCTGACAGTAAGTGCACAGTCTCTTAGCTTCAGTTCCAAGGTCTGCACTAATTTACCGACAAAAACCAGTGATGATCCACATCTCGAACTCCAACTCTCCCATTGCTTCACGGACTCGAACATCTCGCACCTGAAGTTTCATGCGTCGAACCGGTCTTTCATTTGAAACCTCACTTGTCTGTGGTTTCGAGCGGGCTGGGCTTCTGGTCGTCGTAGCTGTGCAGTCTTCTAGTCCACACCAGCACTTGAGAATTGATGGCATTTATTGCCACGCTTGTTTTTAGACGTTTTGCACCATCGTGTGACTATTTTGGTTCTGTCAACTGTGTTTTGGTTTTCGGTTGTTGGTCAACAAGGGTTTCCTACCGCAGTGGAGTAACGCGCGCTGTTTTCTGAAAGAGTGAAATAGGATTTCTTGCAACTGGTTCCTGTTTTCTCACCCACAGATTCGTAAGCTGCTTTTGCTGCGGTAGTTGGAAGCAATGAGCCTACACGTTTTTACCACTATCAACTGAAGCAACACTAGACATGCACTGGCTTCCATTGCAAGTCTTACAATTGTGGTCAATTGTGGAACTTGTGAATGTTAACAATATTTATCCGATGTGCATTTATTAACAGCTCTTTTATTTTGAATAAGTTAAAAGGCACTGTCATGGCTTTGGATTGTAGTGCTATGGGTCGCTGGGTTCATACCATCGTAGAAATTAATCAATCGTTTCGGCGTGCTAACTACCACGATTCAAGCGACCAAGGCCAAGAGGGGAGTGTGCGAAGCAGGGTTGTATTGTGATAGATTTCAAGGACCGAGGTGTACCGAATCTATCGCAGAACAATGTTTGGCCACAGATAGTCAGAGCTCTCTTCTTATCACAAACTACTTAGAAGCGCACTGAAAAACCTTCTCTGTAAGTCGAGTTGTACTTCTCCCACATATCCTATCCTCGCCGCCATCCAAAATGGATTATGTACCGGCGGGGTCCCCTCCACATGTACTTTATGTTTTCCTGCACCCTGACAATGTTTCGTTGTTTTGTGAAACTCTTGACTTTTTGCAGAGGCTACTCCGAAATCCGTGATGCGCGTCATGGGAGTGAAAGGGCTGACTCTCTACCATTTGAAGAGCCACCTCCAGGTTCAATTCTCTTTTCCTATATCGTGTTTCGGTGCAGATAGAATTAGTCGCGGGCCATAGCTGCGTGATCGAAGCCGCAATTGACACGATAGTTTGCCAGATCTATGAGCTAGCATTGTTGACCAGAAAGCTGATTACACAACCGTATTAGTTAGCGTGACTAACCGTGAATATGGATCCTCAGAAATACAGGCTTGGAAAGCAGCTTAACAGAGATCAGCATCTTCAAAACAAAGATGGAAGTAAGTCGTCACAGATATACCCAATTCACATTCTGCTTTTTCCATTCATTAATTCTCTATCTGTGTCTGGTATTCGATCCCCTCGGAACCGCAACATATGACGACGCACTGGACAGACCTGGATGCAGGAGTCAACTGTTGATTTGCTTATTATAAGCACTAATTGTAACCAGCTCTGCAGGTTTGCAGCGATCGAACTCTCTCTCAGATGGTATGCAACAATTGAAGCCGCAAAACCTTCAGGAGTAAGTGTCGTCACAACCTGGCCTATGAATGTCACCCTCTCCATCCTTTTCCGGAGAACGTCCACAATCGATTTCTGTGTCTAGATGTGCAGGTTCTTCGTTTGTCAACTGCCTAGAACTATTGAGTGTTCACATGATTACGTGATTGAAGTAGCCCATGCTGTTAATATGTGGCAGTGGCATGCAAATGAGTGAGCAGCTTCAGCTACAGCTGGAAGTCCAGCAGCGGTTACATGATCAACTAGAGGTACTAATCTTCCTCTTCAAACTAAACAATTGCGACAGATACCTGTGCGCAGTCTATTACAAGGTCACAGACTTTCGTTTTCGGAGTTGCATTTTAGTCTGCTGTTCTAAATCTTGGTCTTGTGACCTCAGGTGCAAAGGCATCTGCAAATGCGCATTCAAGCGCAAGGGAAATACTTGCAATCCATTCTAGAGAAAGCGAAAGAAACTCTTGCCAGTCACACGATGGAGTCCCCGAGCTTGGAAGCTGCACACGCGGAGCTCTCAGAGCTGGCTACCAAAGTGACTACGTTGGGTATGTTCCCTTCCGGCTTCTCCAACATCAACATGCCGGGGATGGCGCAGCCTGACCCCCTCATGGCTCTCCACCCGCAGCCTCGACAGCCAGCTCGAAACTCGGATGCTTCCCCGCAGAAGAGCTTTCTCAACACGAACGCTGAGGACAACAAGGGAGTGTCCGGGAGTGGCGATCCTCAAGGCGCATCCGGTAGACAGCCTACCCCTGCTTCACTTTGCATCTCATATTCGAATATCTTGTTCTTGATTCAGAGTGACTTGTGTTCTGCATTGGAAGTCATAATGAATTTGCGGCGATGGAGCTCAGTCTTCGAACTAACCTGCTAACGTTGACATCACTGATGCAGGTAACTACATGAGTAACTCGGAGTTTGCCTTTTTCCATCAGCTTCCAAATGATGCATTCAGACTAACCAATTGAAGCACTTTTATTTCAATCTAAGTCCTTCCGTTGATCTGCAAGTTTTGTCTGGGAGACGGCGACGTGGGATCATGTGAAGTCATTGCTAGATTTGAAATGTGTAAACGTATCAAAAAAGAAAAACAGTCATTAAGTATTCAGATCAAGGTTGCAATTTATAAGCTTCCTCAGCAGGGCTCAGCAGCTGGGGATGGTGTCGCTGTGTAGAGTTGAGTTTGGGTTTTTTTTTTTTTTTTTTTTTTTTTTTTTTTCCCTTTATTTCGAAAAACAGATTATAAAGGATAGCAGAGAAGAGGCGATTCGGTCTTAGGAAGTTCGCTTGCACACAGTTTGTGAGATCCCCGATCGGTTCTGGCCGCGAGCCGCCAACTGAAGTGGGTATTCTCATGATTCTTGTTCAGAGGTTGAGGATGGTGTTGGGTAGGGCTTTTCCACACAATTTCAAGAAGAGATGAGTGCTAACTGCCTGCACCCGGATGGATCTTACAATGCTAAATCCAACCAATCTCGCCTTGCACATGCCGCCGTCGCTAATTCTACAACGTCAGATGCTCTGGCGGGTATCACTATGTCATCCTCAACTTATTGTAAGTCAGTTGCAAGTTTCTGGCGAGTTAGCTCCTATCAAAGCATGCTGGAGTCTTCGTCGACGATGTTCCGTGTTTTAACCGAGCCTAACGACAACAATGCAAACCAATTTGCGAACGCTATGGTCACGGAGATGCTGATCCAGCAGCACCTCTTGGGATCCACCAGTTGAGCATCGACGGCGTGCCAAGTGGCCGGCTGGATGGATCAATGCATGCCGGGTTTGCGTCCTTGCAGGATACGAATGGAGGAGAATTTGGACGATTCGGTGCAGGATGTGGAGGCGGTGCTCAGTCTCCTGGACTAGCAAAACCCATCTCATAATCATCAGCTTCTAGCAGTGTAGAGGTGGCCAGCGTGACTCAAACCACAGATACGAGCGGCAAATCTCCTCACGAACCTGTGCAGATATTTTTCCAGGATCTCGCGTCCAGATTGCCACATCCGAAGCGACAATGCCCCTTGATGCTCCTAAACGGTGCCACGAAAACGTTCATGTGGAGGAAGTGAGCTGGAGAACGGGTTGAAGCATCTGTGGAGTATGGCGTTCGTGCAAGATTTCACTTACAGCAAAATGTTTTTTTTGGTCTGCAGTTGTCGATGACCTTAAAAACAGGCGCATAAGCGGGACTTGGGGCGATAGCTTGCTCAGTACAGACTCAACAAGCGAGCAAGCTAGCGAGGTCAAATGTCAACCTCTCGTCCGCCCCACAGCCTGCGTTAGAAGCTTGAACAGATCTTACGATGGGGGTTGAATGGTATTTGTACAATGAAAATACAGGTAGCTCATCAGAATGTGTTGACAATGTAGATTGAGGGAAGGACTGAGGAAAGGACTGATTGCGTTTATCAGGTTCGAAAGGTAGCGTCGTCATGCAGGATTTCGAATGTTCAAAGATTCATTCTGGATGCAATTTGGATTAGTAACTGTACCAGTGGCTTGTATTATGAAAGACTAGCATTTGTACATGATGTTAAACTTACTGAATCGATTGCAAAGACGTTCGAATCCCAGCATCAAGTGCACACTCTGATCTGATATGATCAATCTATTTGTTCTTTCTATTCTGTTTTTTGCAACAGTTTGTTTCCGTCTACACACAAGTTCTTTGTTTATGCAAGTGATCAGCAGCACACAAGATCCTCGAACAAAATCCCTCTGATTCTTCTCTTAACATCCGGTCCTTCAAATCTGGTAAGATAATTGTAGTTCCCACAAACCCTCATACTTTGAGCATCACTTTCTTATTAATAATCAGTCTATCATCAACATGATACGCATGGAAGATTTGTGAAATCTATTTTAGAATAATGCTGTTCTGGAATAATGTTATCTGCCTTTAAAGCAGTATAGTTTTCTCTTTTGTAAAACATTTAAATAACACAATGGATAGTCTTGTCTCTCCTATTATAAGTCATCCTACAAAGTTTCAAATATGAGTAGGTGGTGTGAATATTATTGAGACTTTTATTGTGGTTGCTTTTTGCATGATTGTAAATTTTATAGAATCATTTTTGTATACATCAAAGTATTTTGAGTTTTGATTAGCAATAAATAATTTTCATGGAAAATTTATTTTATTTTTCTACCACCATACTAAAAATGATTAGGAGATAATTAAGAGAATTATCATCCTGAAGCCATGGCGAATAATGGCATGATGAAACTACAAAGTAAAATAAATTTAAGAAATGAGGTGATATCATACAAAAGCCTCTTATATAAATAAAATCTTGCATCTAATCTTCAGGATAACACTTGTTGGAGTTGAAAGGCTAATATAGAACAGCATATTAGTTTGAAAGTTAAATCACTGAGTATTAATTAAGCATTAGTTTTCTTTTTGTAACAATATTAGAATTAAAATCTTATAAAAAATTCTTTAATTTCAATAAAATAATAGAACTTTTTTATACAAGTAATTAAATCAAAATCTTTAAACATTTTTAGTATGGATTTTAGAATAAAAATATATATTTGTTATCTAGATAATGCATGTACATGATAAACTACAAAATAATCTTTTAAAAATAATCTGGAAAAAACTCAATATATTTAATAATGTACCACTTTGATTAAAAATTAAAAACGTCCTATATTATTTAGATATTAATGATGCTTTTTGATAAAAATTTATTTTCTCTTAAAATAATAAGAACTAGTTATATTAATTTTTCTTCAATCAGGTCCAAATCAAAAGTGAAACAATCTTGATTTCGATATATTTTTTTATTATTTAATTTTTAAATTTATAATTGCCAAAACATATAATTGTAAAAAATCAATCTATGAATCGAATCTTTCTTTTTTCATATGATTTTGGACTATGTTTATTTTTTCAAACTTACAATTATGTATTCCATGTTTATTTTTGCCAAATACATGGTGGAGAGAAAAAGGATTGTGTGCATGTACACATGTCGTTTAAAAACGGCATCTTTACTTTTATTCTCAATAAATCTCTAGTGCACCAAATGCATGAATCCACATGTGTTTGTAGAACAGATCATGTGAAGCTCTTGCACAGCCAAACGGGTCGGCACTCTTCATAGCCTTGCATGGATTCTTTGACATCCCGCATTCAGTCTTTCCATTCTAACCACACCGTTTTGTATAGCAGGTGTCAATTTCAGTTCTTTTCCACAATCTGGACACAAAGCAATAAATAAATATATTAATAAATAGAAGAAGAAGAAGAAGAAGAAGAAAAATCTGATGAAAGATCTGTTAAAACACCCTCAATGCCAGAGTCAGTATTACTCAGGACAGTGAAGCACAGTTGCGTTTGTACTTCGCCGAGACATGCTCGGCGACTGAGAGACCTCATGTTTAGCAATCTGGTTGAAATATTGCGGTAGGATTTCTCGCAAAGCCACTAGCAGCAACGATCATGGAGCGGCAGAGTGCGTCAGTTCATGGCTCGTGAAGTCGGCGGGTTCTTCCCCTGACACGGTGACTCATTTGCATCACCATGTCGGCGATGATCCACGCTGTCGTCTTTTCGAATGGGCTAAATCTGGACTCCAGACATGCGTTGCGGTAGTCGATGTTGAGAATAAAAGTAAAGGTGCCGTTTATAAACGACATGTGTATGTACATGCACACAATTACTTTTTAAACGGAACCTTTACTTTTATTCAGCCATGTCGATCAAGTTTCCTCTTCATTCATCTGGCAAACATCAAAATGCCGACTCTGCTTAGAAGGTTTCGAGACAGTCCTTGCTGGGTAGTAGACGGATCTGTGCGCTAGAACTAAAACGCCGTGAGCTGCCATTCCCATCCGCACAATCGACAAGTCCAGGCTCATTTTCAAGCACAGATCGGAAACAAGTAGTCACCGTTGATCACTGTCGGCACTTTCGTCACGTCGGCGAAGTTCAAAAAACACGTGGTGTTTGCGAGTGTGAGAGCATCGAAATCTGAACTTGGAGGCATGGGAGCTGGATGATCTGATCCAAGCAGTGCGCAGCTAGAAAATGGTGCCGTGCATGATTTATGAACCAGAATTACTGATCAGTATCCAGATGACTACAGCATCAAATCCTCGGTGGTTTTGGCTCGTCCCAAGGCCAAGAGGAAAGGATGTATTTGGGTATGGAAGTATTTACTGTCTTAGTGGAAGAATGTCTTATGCAGGTCCAATTCCTCATTTGGGTTACCAGCTTGTCTTGTTGGTTCATGGGTGATAATATCATGTGAGCATGGTTTGTCTGAAAAAGAATTTTTTTTTGGTTTGGTTTGGTTCGGTTGAGAAAAAAAAAAAAAAAACAAACAAACAAACAAACAAAAACAGAAAGAATCAAGGCATTGAAAATTAGATCCAAGATCTCCTATTGCATTTGTCACAAACATCATAGTCTATTATTATTATGTTTTATTTGTAAGATTTGAAGTGCGTAAATAAAGAGTAATTTTTCTTTGTATGAATGTAACTAAATGAATGATTAATGACAAGGAAATCATTTACATCACATGTCAAACAAACTTTGTATTTAGATTTTTAAAGTGCTTCAATTATCCACAATTGTTAAAGATTGTTTTATAGAAGTTTCAAGAATTTAGACAAACTTGAGAACTTTGGGTTTTCTTAATGTAGCTAGAAAACAATGTGATTACAAACTTTCTTGTTAGAAGATTAATAACAATCCTCATTCTTTTAATATTACTTCTTTAAGTCACGAAATTTTAAGGTGAATGTATTAATTTTTATTGTTTAATTTTTTTGAGTAATCAATGAAATTTAAAAAGATTATATAAAACACAACTTAAAAAACCTTTGTAAATGTGATAAATTGGTTTTTGAAAAGTTAAAAATAGTATTTAATTTTAATTTTATTATAGTCTTTAATGATTATTTTAGGATAATTTTTTTAAATAAAACATTCAATTAATTTTTTATATTTATACATAAGTCCAATATTGCAATTACTTTTTGTGATTGTTAAAGATTTTTTATTTTTTATTTTATTTTAAAATTTTATGTCTAATTTTTAAAATTTAAACTAATAAAAATATATCAAAACTTATTTTTTTATACAATCAAACTAGATTATCTTATTTTTTTAATTTAATATCATGGTACTTTAGATATTTTGGATTTTCTTCGCTTATATATAAATTTATTTATAGTATTTTTAAAATAAATTATTATCAAAATATTATTATTCTAAAATATATAATTATTAAATTAATATCATTAATAGAAATAAACATATAAGTTAATACGAATTATATGATACTTTTGATACATATCACTTTTAATAGATAAAACACTTTTCTAAAATATGTAAGCAAATTAAGTTCTTTTCAAGAAGTACACCATATTAAAATATATTTTAGGTAGCATGTATTTACAAGAGTGTAATTTATAAATTTAAAGTATTCAATGTTATTCTTAAAAGAAGTTTAAATACAGAAATTAGTTTTAAAAATATTCTTTGTAATGTTTTATAAAACTTCAGTAAAAAAAAATAATGGTTTAATTTAAGATGTGCATTGAATTGAAAATTCTTACTATTTATCCTACAATTTTTTTACAATTACTACATTGTTAAAAATATTTTTTAAAATTCAATCAATAACTATTGAATTTATTTTTGTTATTGTGATTTTTTCTTTATATATATATATATATATAAAATTTCTTAAAATAAATTCTATGAGTATCAAATTATCAAGTAAATATTCATATAAAATATAAAATAAAATTTCAATTTTTATTTTAAGAAATCACAATTTGAGATTTTTTTTCAATTTTTTTTTACATACTAAGTTTTATAATTTATCTACAAATTAATAGTTTGAATATAATAAATTATCTTAAATTGGATTAATATTTTTTAAAAATATTTATTTTTATTTAAAATGTTTATCAAATTAATTGATTTTAGATTTATAATATTAAAGCTATATTTTTTACACTATTATTATTTTGTTTTTTATTTTGTTCTTTATTACACTAATCTAAAAATAAAGAAAAAAAAAATAAAAAAACAAGATTTATATTGTAATAATAAATATTAGAAGTTGATAAAGCCACATCCTAATGTTATTAAAACCACACCTTCCCTTGTCATTTCATTATTGATTCTGTCCATCTTTGATCTTTGTCCCCCATTCTAATTCCTCCATTTCCAGTTTCCTGTCCCTTGTCCCTATTTCCTAGTCTCCTGTTTCTAGTCCGCCCTCTTTGTTCTCCTAGTTTCTCGTCTCTGTTTTCCAGTCCAACACATAAAATTATTTGAATAAAATAATTCAAAATTTGAATATACTATGACCAATTGTTTATAAGTTTATATTAAATTATAAAATTTGGAATATATAAAAATTAGTCACTTAATATTTCAACTTTAACATATTCTTGTGAAATATTATGGAAGAAAAAGAAGAAATTCATTTATATTTAATCACTTTTACAATTTTTTGTATTATTTTGAAAATCATGTTTATTCAATTTTATTTAAAAGTTAAATATGATCATATTAAAAATATTATTTGTAAGTCTCAAAAATTTT